ATTCTGAAAATATTTAACCAAGACCTTGAAATTTCCCTGAACTTAACCAAGTGCCCTAAACGTAAGCGTAAAGGTACCCGTTGGATTTCATAACCACTAGTAGCGGTGGGGAGCAATGTTTTTACGAGTGGATCCCTGTTTTTGTTTGTAGTGTGCACGCCCACACAGACGCTGCCTGTTATTGGTTTCACGCTCATCCGATGATTGACAGTTTCTGGTGATAGTGGTACAATAGCAAAGGCACTTTTCAAGAACTGCTACCAACGAACCTTGGATGTCAACGGTGCACAATCTGAAATATAAAAACATTGGCTTTGCAAATGTTTTCAGAAGAAGGAATGCATTCAAAGTGTTGTTTAGACCTTAATGATGCACAAAGTGTGTTGGTGAGACAAAAAAAACTACACAGTGCACTTTTATAAAACATGAACTATGCTTTAGTTGGTACGAGCAGATGTTGTATCGCAAGAGCAGACAAGTTTTCTGTATATAAAAACATTACCCATCATGCAACGCAACCTCTTTCCTTTAGCTGGGCAGTAAAAAGCCACGTCTTCGAACTCCCCAGTTTGTCAAACACAGCTGAAGTCGAGTCAAGCGATGTCACTTAAGTAATTTTCCTCTATTTAAACTATCAGTATTATGTTATCACTGAGTAGTACCCCCAATAAACTAATGTGTCACTACATGTTTCGTTTATTGCTACGTGAGAACTGCAGGCATAAAAGGCCTTCCTGCTGTCTACATTTATAAACCTGCAGATCATTCAACAGCTGTAGGTATCTAAGCTGACATTTGTATTTATGTCTCTGTAGTCATAACGAGACCTTTTTATTTCAGTTTTTCCTCTGTGGCAGATTCCCGACCAGCCCTTTTATGACTGCCCATGAAGAAGGTTTTTTGCAGTGAGGAACAATGAGGATTCAAAGCTTCTGCAGATGAGAGGTGTGTGTGTGCGTGTGTGCGTGCGTTGGTGTGTGCGTTGGTGCGTGCGTGCGTGCGTGCGTGCGTGGGGGAGGAGGGGACGGACTATTCTTAATGGCCAACGAAGGCCTCCTCACCTGTAAGGATGGTGACCTCTAGATGAGTGCCACAGCCCCCCTTCTATCGCCATCTCATTTTTGGGTCCACGGCCCCCCGCTCTCTGGTCAGGATTCAATTACTGGTGTCAGGCTGACCTTTGACCTCCCCTCCAACAGGATGAACCTCCTCTTTTTTAACCGAAAAGTGGTACCACTGTTACGCTTCACATCACTCGCTCTTCTGCCCCTCTCACTGCTATCGGCCTCCGAAATGAGACCGTATTACTTTGTCCTTAGGATAAAAGTCCACGCGTCTTTTCTGTATGAATTCACTTGATACAAGATTATATATTAACTTTCATTTGTAATCTTTTTTTTAAAATAAACAATGACATTTTTTTCATTGAGATTTATCATTTGAAAGATGTACTTCTACAGTTGTGTTTTAGAGTTTCTATCATTCTGTATTTACAGATCGATCTTTCAACCTCGTTCTAAGCCGCAGTCGATGGTTGTTAAGCCAACGCCGTGTCTTAATCACAACACAGATACCTGTTAATTACCAAGCGAGTTCAAGTATTTTTGCTACTTAAACAGGGATTTAAGATCGATGCGTTGCTCTGCCCCTGGTCGAGCGTTGAGCACAGTTGACCATTTAATGAAACGTTGTGGGTTCTTTGCGCAGAGGCTGAAGGAGAGGAAGAACAGGGAGGATAAAGCAACGGGTATATTAATAGGCAGCCGTACGGATGACACTGTTTGGTTTTGGGTCAGGGATAAAGCATGAACTTGTAAACTCACAGAGGGGCCCCTCCTCCCCTCCCTCTCGCTAACTCACTCTCGCCCTTCGTGGTGTCATCAGTTAGCAGAGCTGGGCTCGATAGCCTAGGCAGCTCTACGAGAGCAGCGATTAGACGTCTCTCTGATTCTCATCCCCAGCAGAGTTCACTCAAAGGTAAGCCAGTAGTTTACATCCTCAGAGACGCTGGTATTCCTCTGCCTTTGTTCTTTGCCGTCTTCTGTTTTGCAAACAGCGTATCTACTCGATGCTATTGGCATGATGTGGGAGTTTCATGTCATCTCTTAAAAATACACAATATAAAAAGTTTTTTTCTTTTTTTTTTTAAAACTGCACCTGCCTGTCTATCGTATATAATCAGGAATAAGTTTTGAGTGACTTCCCCCGTCAAACTCTATAGGTGTCACTGAAGAGAGCACCTCCCTTTCCTCCCCTCCCGAACCACTGACCAGTAACCAAGATGGAGACAGTCAGCAGGGTTTATTCCAGCCACCTGGCGTCTGAGGTACGCTCCCATCGGACCGTTTTGCTGTGATCACAGCAGGCTGTGGGAGGTTAATCCCAAGAGAATGCAGGCTCAATCTCCCCCCACCTCCAGCCTACACCAGCCTACACCCAGGTACCTCCTGTATAATGGCCCTGTGGAGCTCGGTGGTCTGTGGCCAACACCTACCCACAATTCACTTCTGCTCTGATTCTTCTGACATTTTTAAAGTCCTTTAGATACCGTTACAGAGCGAAACAGACCTCTCGTCTCTTTTACAATAATGTAAATCAACTAAATTAATTGAAACAATTTCTCACTATTAGCTTTGTGTGTCTTCCAAAATATAAAAAAAGAAACTCTCACCGGTGAGAGATTTGATTAGCTGCAGTGTTGAAGCAAATCTAAATTTGAAATGATCATCAAGGCTCAAAATGTTACGTTTCCTCATTCCTATTAGTAGTTAATACTGATAACATATTTTTGAAAAACCTGTTCCTTCCACTATCCAGCCATGAGAATTAGCCACGGTAAAACATGTTTTGATATACATTTAGTTTGTTCGAGCCACAATAAATTATTTCAGATGGCACAATATGCATCTGTTTTTCCCTGGAGTCTTTCACACATATCTGTGCGTAATGAATGTGGAATTTGACAGATGGAGAAAAAAGTGTTCTTGTAAGAGGGAAGGGTACATGCCACAATGTGTGAAGTGCAAGCATGGAGGGAGCCTCTTGTATTATTTACTGCCCGTGCCAGCTGGACCAGCCAGATTCTTACAGGTAGAAATTCAAGTACAAATTATGTGCAGAAATCATTGAAATCACAAATGGGCCATATGTTTGTTGTTACAGTTAGAAATGAATGTGAAATGCTCTTAATGTTGTGCTAAATTTAGGCTTTAGGAAAAGTAAGCCTGTCCTATACAGTGTATCTCCGTCCATGGTAACTTTCGTGAAATAATCTTTCTGAAATTTCTTTCAATGATAATTGTGACTGGAGGTAATTTTTAATTTAATTGCCTTTTAGTATGCGTGTGTGTGTGTGCTTGTGCTGTTGTTTGAAACTGTGCTATTTTTGAATGCATCAGGGTCTGACTTAAATATTAGTGTAACTACATTATCACAGTGTTTTTGCCTGGTAGCAAACATGTACAAATGAGGATTACAACTCGTGAGAAGGCAACAGGTCATGGTTGGTAAGCTGCCCGGGGGGGTCACTGATATAGAGTCATTTTTGACAGGCTGTGGAGGAGGCTCTATTGTTCCTGGTGTGTCTGGATGTTACCTGCAGGCACTATCGCTGAGACTACAGTATTATCCTATTATTAGGCTTAGTTGTTTACGCTTATTACTGCTTGTCAGGTAGGCAGAGAATCCTTCTGAAAACGAGTATCTGCAGAAAAATACATGACTACTTCTTTATCTCATTCAAGTACATCGGCTTACGATCATTTTCAGAGGCCTTTAAGAATGTCTTGATAGGACACAACAAACAGAAATGTAAGGTTTATGTTTACATGCGAGCGTTTGATTCTATGAAACGTTTCACTGCGCCACAGACATGGTTGTTTGGCAGACAGTGTAAGAATGTAAGAAACGCTGCATCTGTTTTATGTGTATTAAAGCTGATATCATTATGGTCTTGCTTCAGTTGAAGGTACATACACAGTAAGAGGACATCGTGGATTGAAACAGCCTCGGTTAATGTCTCTGTTTGTAGAGGAAGTGAACAAAATAAAAAAAAGCCCATCATATGGTCTGGCAGATTTTGGGCACAGGACCAGGGATGACAAATGTGCTCTTGCAATAATTCAATCTGCTCTCATAATTCTCTAACTTTTAGGGACAGACAGAATGAAAAAATGTCCGGCAGTTTAGCCGCCAAGTCAACGTCCAATAACTGTGATCAAGTGCTAGTTAAGATGCTTTTCCTCTCACTTTATCTATTGACAGATTGAGGGGTACAAAGATACTGGGTAAGTGGCACAAACTTACTGTGAATATGTTAACGAGAGGATTTGGTACCAGATCCAAAATCTTGTCATTTTATTGATGTCACAGTAATGATATTAAGTTTAAGGAACAACAGAGCTGTACTTTTGCTATCAGAGTGTTACTGCAGTAGGTGTTAGCATGGCTACAGGACATATTCTCATGTAAATTGCTGCCTTTGTATAACAGTTTTAATTCATGCTTTTTACAAACAATATTGTCTTGTGACATATTTATTCTTCTAAGGAACATTTTAGCCTTGACAGCTGAAGTCAGACTGTGTTAAGTTTATATGTCAAGCCAACAAAAGGCAAACCCAACCTTCTGGTATGAACCGTGTTTTTCCAGCTTTGTGTACGCAGTCAAGAAAATAAGTAACATAAAAAATAAACAGCAATTTTTATGAATAGAATCAAATTTGCTCTTTTTAGGTACAGTTAGTTAAGTAAGAAAGTAAAATGAATCATCTGTTTTGAAGTATTTAAACAAAGTGTTGTTCGTTGCAGAGATGTCTGTCGAGCCTTGGGCCATGTGAAGCACAAACAGCACACGGCCGCATTTAGAAAGCGAACGAGATCAGGTATACCGCCGCTACATGGAGCTGCCTCTGGGCCAATCTCCATGTGTGTGGTACTGTAGTAAAGCACGTTATCTGTATTAAAAAATAGTAATATATGAATACCCCTTTTTGTTTGCAGAATAAGATGTATGTTCTGGCGATGGTTGATCCTGATGCTCCGAGCCGCGCCAAGCCAACATCTGCTCACTGGAGGCACTGGCTGGTCGTGGACATACAGGTAGAGTACAAGTCTGCAGTAACCTCTGCTCCCTCTTGGAAACAGCTTCCTGTGTTTTAGTGATGGGGACACGGACAGCATTTGTTATTGGATTAGGAGCTCATATGGTACAAATTCATGAAGGAGCGTTTGGATTTTTAAAAAAAAAAAATTTTTTGAAAATTGTGCATTTTCATAATCTCGGGGTCTCTCTTGGCATGTCTCGTGTTTACATCTGCACTGGGGCCGATCGCAAGGCTGGAAAATTATGAATGGTTTTTAAAGCCTAACTTGGTGGAAAAGGGATGCCAAGTTCAAAAAATGTTAATTTTTCATATCATGTATCTTGTGCAATAAATGCCTGTGACAAAAGTGTGGGAGTAAGTCTTTCTAAATGGCTGTGAAAGTTTGCAAGGCCCTGTCAGCAGCAATTTCCCTCTGCTGCAGAGAGCCTGGGACGTGTCAATGCAGGCGTGTGAGACTGAGATTGAGGAGAGCAGCATGCGAGGCGCACACTCTTTCTCCCATAGAGCTCCAGTCCCTCAGCTCCCCCTCCAGTGGAGAGATCTTGGCAGAGTGTCCTCCCTTCATCTGTTCCCCCAGGCAGAGCAGCTCCCCCAATGATCCACACTTCTCCATATTTTACACCCCCGAAATGGGCACCGCTCCGATCCCCTTATTTCTCTTCATATTTCACTCCTTTTTTTATCCATTCGTTTGTGTGTTTTCACATTCTTGCATTCTAACGCCAAATGCGTGTTGAGTTGTTGATTGCCTCAAATATTTGGAGGTTTGCAGACATTTTATAATCCCGCGGGAACCGGGAGATCAACCCAGTAGATTAAGACTAGTGGTCTGAAAAACAACCACACAAAGACACTTCGGCGATGTATCACTGCTCCCGTTTCATTTTATAAGGCGTAGTTGTGCACGAAACTAAATGCCACATTGATTCGAAGATCCAAATGTGATGTATCTGGGATATATATTTTAGCAAACCTTTCAATGGCTATGAATTCAGAATTTTGTGATGCTGCGCTTTATAAATGATTTATGCAACCGCATTCCTGCTTGCCTGTAAGGATGTTTACCTCATAGCACTCGCTTACATAAATGATAAACAAAAGAAACGAGTAATTTCCACTTTCTAAAATGGCATTAGGCATCACCTTTGCTTCTTATTTTTAAGCCCATAAAGTCTGTCTGGCCATGAGACCAGCTGTGAATAAACAAATGTCTTTCAAGTGCTCAGACGGACCACATTCTCTCGAGCAATTCAATTTCCTGTCACTCGTGTGGGTGTTGACCTGCGTCGTCCATGTAGGGATTGGCCAATGTGATGGGATGTTTTTCTGATTGTGACTGGTGGTTGGTCAGAAGGGTTAATGAGCCTTTTGAGTGAAGCCAACCTGTAGTGGGAGGTGTTTAATTGACCAGGGTGACCAGGTCACATCACACAACCTCAGTTTTGTTTTTTCAAGTGTCGATGTGAATGTGATTTTGTTTCAGCGCAGTTGTGATTTTGACAGCAATGTAGTTGAATTTATAAATGAATGTGTGTCTGTGTGTGTGTATATATAGAGTGAGAGTCTTTTGTATGTGAGGAGAGTAAAGCGCCTTACAATAACAGTTAAACTGCTTTGTGTTAGATGGTAGATTATTTGTTAAGCAAAGTAGTTTATTTCACTAACATCAGGGGTCATGCCTTCAAATGTCAAGTGGATCAGTGTTTTTCATCCTCACTCGTCAAGCAGCAGCCATATTCTTGTTATAGATATATGTTCATTAGTCCAAGGTCTTGCAGTCTTGCCCTAGTTTGTGGATGATTCAATAATTAGTGTGTATTCTTTATCCGTAGCCACAGCTAAGAAGGTAGAAGATTTCCTTAATTCAGCTGAGAGTGAAGCGAGGTCAGGCTGGACTGAGCAACGCGGCACCACAGATTTCTTCAGCCCAGGTCTCATTAGAGCAGCGCTTGCAACAGAACAAAGGGCACACTGCGGCTACCTTGTTTATTATAGGCTCGTCACTCACCTCGCTTTGAGCTGCATTATTTAGCTAGCTCTTCACTCATGTGCTGAGGATCTCCTCACAATGAGTCAGCCATGCCAAAACCCTCTTTAACCACAGAGAGAGCTGTTTGAGAGCCTGATATTTGTTGCCACACACTGTACACTGCCACACACTTCTAGTATTCATCCACAACTAGTGTGGAGCCTTATGTGAAGCCGGATTTAGCATTAACTATAGAAACAGGTTTATTGGTCTTCCTGAAGAAAAAAAAGGCTTTATTTGTTGTAAGATATCCTTACCTTCTGACGTTTTTTTCTGTATTGATGATTATGAAAACATAAATTGTGTTTTGGGAAGAGAAGATGTTCATGTTATATGCACAAATTTAAGGATCCACTGATACTACTTTTTGCAGACCAATTACAAGTACTTACATTTGAGTACTTGCCGATACCGAGGGCCGATATGAGTACTTAATAATACCATTACTGTTCTTACAATGACTTTAAAAACTACATTTATTTTCATCAGATGTCCCTCACTTTTTTCCAACAAATGAAATATACAATATGATGCTATTGCTGACATTTTCACATTCAACATTGTGTTTTTCTGATACAAACAGAGCATAGTGCGCCTAGCTGTTGCTAACTTCGTGGCTAACCCAAGCCTCCAGGAAGAGTGCCGGGCTTTGAAGACAATTTTAAATAGTGGCCAAAACTGAATGGAATTACAGTTTATTGGTCCGTCACGTGATGCCATGCTTATTTAAATCATTCGTTTCTCAAAGTTGTAAAACACGCTTAAGCTGAATCCAGAGTTATTCGTTGATGTGAATGAGCCCGGGAACATGGCTGGACCGAGGGCTGGGAGGCCGGGTTGAAGGAAGCGCCAATGCGCTTGCTCGATGGGCCCCATTTTTGCTTCATGTGCCACTTAGCACCTTCAATAGAAATGAATGGGGCGCGGCCTCCAACGCTGTATTCAGTTCTTTGTACATCCATTGGCTAACCCACTTCACTTTCATCATTATTCACAGTCAAACAAGCTCTACACAGACTGCAGTGCTACACTCACATCTATAAGACAACTGATAACTTCATACTCACCGTTACACACACGCTCTCTGTCGCGAGCAGTCACTCGATTACGTTACGCCGGGCTTTCAATACACTGGAGGAAACTCTGTCCGAGTAACTGAACAGAGGATTTTAAATATGCACAATAGCCACCCAACTAGACAAGTTATTGTCCAGTGTCAAATCTTTGATTTATAGCGCTATGTCATTTATCGCGCCAAAAACCATTTACTCCAGCAGTTAAGTGTAAACTGTGTGTCTCCTCTTCTTCCACCAGCTGTCCACTTTTTGTTAGAACTCACATTAATAGATGATCTATGTGCATTTTTATTGCAACTGCCTCCTTGAGCTACAGAAACAGTCATTTAGAAGCTTCTCCAACACACTCCGTGTTTTTTTTTTTTTTAATATCAATTATGGACAATTACCAAAATAACCATCAACAGATTGTTGTCTAGCTCTCAAAGTCGAATTCCAGATTGTGAGCCTCTCCCTCCCTCTGTCTGCTCTCCCAGAGTCTAAACCAATGCAGATGTTCCGGTGTGGTCTCGCAGCGATAATTACTGTAACAAGCAAATCATTAGTATCTGAATAGAGGCAGCTTATATAAATACAGCACTGGGGCTTACTTTTACTTTGCTCATTATAATTTTGGTGGTTTGTCAGTCGACATGATGCAATATGAACTTACAACAGAGTGCCCCAGCTACAGCTCTTTCCTGCTCTGGTGTTCACGATCTCTATAATATCTCCTTTTAAATAGCGACGTGTAGCCTTAGCTTTTCATGGATTTTTATTCTTATTTTTTTTATGATGATGTATGAGTTTTGTCTTCCGAGGGTTTGTCTCCAGGAAATTTTCTGTGCCTCAAATTATTTTATTTCTAAAATGATTTTATGAAAAAGTACAGCATGTATATATCCACCAGATGCAAACACATTCAGCTTTGTTGTTGTTGTTAGATTTGATTGCATTGCAGTTTTCTTATTTACAAGCAACATGAGGTTCATTCTCAATAAGGCCAGAGATTCATGATCCGTCGTGAGCTCTTCAGGCTGTAGTCACTCAGTGTCCTCTTCAGTCAGGGCTTCTTCATGTCCAGATTCATTTCAATAAGGTCTTTTGGGTTGGAAGCCATCATGTTTGTTAACTCCCTCTGCCTGGCTAATTGAAGGCCAGTTGGACAGTTTAGCACACAGTGTGCTGTGCTCATTACTATGGTGCATGAGGGATATGCATGCTTTAACATCCATCTCTGTTGTAGCAGCTCCCAAAAGGGGAACAGAGCCTGTGTTCTGCTGCTGGTCAGGCAAATACAAACAGTGAAGTATTGTGACTGTGTCAGACCAGCTGGCTTTGTGTTTGTGAATTCTGCAGCCTGCAGAGATCGTCTGCTCCACACCTCAAGATGTCCTTTAACTGCAAACTAAAAGGCGTGTAACCCCTTATTGCATTTTATGCAATGATTTTTTTTAACCTAAAAAGGGTAACTGGTGTTATTTTGACATTGTTATTATCCCCCCCCCCCCCCCCCACACACACACACACACACATATTCTTTTCTTCCTCCCAACAGTATCGTTTGTGTAGCTTTGATCATAATGAAGAAATACCATGTGCCAATCATAGTGATGACATCGCTCATTTATTATCATTTCATAATTTTGGGAACAACAATGGTTCATGTCACAGAGGAACAAGCTGTATCAAGGTTGATGTCAAGTTTTGCAAAAAATGTCACACAAGTCATTAGTGTCTGAGCTGCAGCAAATGATAGTGCTGAAAATATGTTTCTAACCTCTGCAAAAGCCAATATTCAATATTGCAAATAAACATACACAATTGCATTGTTCTTTATCCTGTAATTATCTCTCCTGTGGCATGTTATGATTGAAGCGTTTCTTTTTTTGACAGACAGCTGCCCCCATA